TAAAAATCGCCCTCCCCCCTTTTTTTTTTTTTTTTTTTTTTTTTTTTTTTTTTTGGGGGGGGGGGAGGAGTAGTTTACCTCTGCGGGTCCACTGGCAGAGAGTTCAAGAAGATGCCTGCGTTTAAATAAGGGTGAAGGTTACTGCCGAACCGCTGTCACGGGCCAAAAGTAGCGTGACGCATTTTTCTTATGACTGAATGCGCTGATTTGTGTTGCGTGCACCCGATGCCGTTCTCTTGTAAAGATAAGGGATAGAAAAAAAAAATAATCAAGATTCGGGGCTTATTTGGTATTGTATAAACCCAGAATTGTTCTGCTGAGACTGGTGCTCGAACTGGGAGGATAATCGATATCCAGCTGCCCTGTTTTGGCGGCATATGTACAGATTTAGTGGCGGGCCCTCGCGGGGCTGCAAACTGCGTGTGCTTTTGTCTCCAAGGTGGTTGAAACGAGCAGAAGGATTCACACTGATTTCGGAGCCTACCGTTCAGCCGCAGCAGGAGACCTGTTTATTCGCAGCAGCATTGAGAGCATCATTAAAATGGTCCAGGCTGCATTTTTATTGGTCACTATATATATATATATATGTATTTTTCTTCCTTCCTAATTGCTGCCCAGTGCAATAAGAGTTGGGCTATCAGTGACATGGATGGCCAAACTAACCGATTTTGATGGTAGCCAGCCTTTTTAATAGCACGAGGCGTCTGCAGTAGAGGTGGCCATAAATACTGCAGTGTTTCTGGAAATGGTAAACACGTAGGACAGTTGCTGTAGAAGCTGGTATTGAAAGACAAGTGGGTTTTTCACGCCCCAAGTTAATTCATTCAAGCTTATTGGCATTCACAGCAGATCCTAAATTTAAATCTTGAGGTTTTCTTTCTTTGTTTTTTAAATTGGTGGCGTTATTCAGGGAAACTCTCTATTGCAGCAGTAAGAGGAAGGCGAAGGAAAAAAAGGGAGGGGGAAGGAGAGGCACTTAAGAGCTCAAAGATGTTTTAGCAGTTGTACAAAAGATGGATATAATGGTATAAAGCAGTAGCTAATGGAATTCACGTAGCCCTTTTGGCGGTAGAAGAGCCGTGTCAACTTCTGTCAGCTGAGAATCGGGTGCTCCAGCCCTTCAGTTTTATTATAAACTCTTTGGGGAAAATGCCTGATTCTTCTGCTGGACCAGTGGAGTCCCAGCTCAAAATACAGGCCCTGAGCAACACTGTCACTGTCCTATATGTATTTGCGATGAGGTCAAGGCATCACCAAGTTAAAGTTCTGCTTTCTACTCCTTCTTGAATTCAGCATTTGGCCTCACCAGCCTGGCTGGGCTGGCGTAGCTTTGTTCTTGTGCAAAGACGTTTTTGGGAGGAGAGCAGAGGCTCTGAGTTAGTACAACTGCAGGTAGAAGGGCCAGGGTGTAGTTCAGACGGAACACTGCGTAACGTGTATGTGCTTTGCTGTAAGTACATGCGTCTGTCTTGCAGGGAATGAAGGAACCAGAGGAACACAGCAGCACTCAGACCCCTGCAGGCGGTGTTTCACTCTTCTTACGATTACTGCAAAAAAAGATAGATTTGGTTTTGACCTACAATCTCGCAAAAGCGAGATGTAGCCCGGGCTGCGATAACAGCACGTCACCTGGTCGCTGCCTTCTTATCATTACCTTTCTGTTCCTGCCAAACTGTCTTCTAATTGGAGGGAATTTTAATAACTGTTTTTTAAATCCTTCTCTTCAACTTAATTTGCTAATACGTGCTTATTTCCATCTTACTATGCTGCAGTGCTCTGGGCAGGCAGTAAAAGTATCCGCTGCGTCGAAACATCACTAAGTTGGACAAAATGAGTGTGTTTGTGTTGTGTAACCACTGGCAACAGACTTTTGGTCCATTTCCCTGACAGCAGTTGAGTCACAGTTCGCCAAGTGGTGACTCCAGCGTGTGGGTGCATAGAGGAAATTTTGCATGCGACCAAGGCAAAAAAAAAAAAAAAAGAGATGTGGCTATTTTGCATCCTTCAAAGTACTATTTAATGCTTTTGCTGCAGGTGATGGTGGCAGACTGCAGGTATGAGTGAGCTGCCAAGTAGACAACTGCGCTGGAACCCACCTCCTTCTCCGCTCTGCTTTTTTTTGGGATCATTAGCGTGATGAAAGGACTCGCAGATGAAATAAAATATTTTATCTTTCCAGTTGAAAGTGTGGGGATTGACTTGTGTTTTGACATGCACTTTTGAATTATGCAGAGGTTGTTTCCGTCGCTTTTATCTCTGAAGCGACACTGCGGACTGTCAGCTTTCTCACAGAATAATTATGTACTGTTGTGTGCTTCTTTGTTGCAGAGTGATCGTCTTTTGATCAAAGGTGGTAAAATAGTTAATGACGACCAGTCGTTCTATGCAGACATTTACATGGAAGATGGGTTGATAAAGTAAGTGAAGTCTGATGCCGTGCTATGATTGGAAATGTACAGAAATGTACTGCAGGTCAGCGAGGAATAGCTTAGTCTCAGTGAGCTGTATTAGATTGCAATGAAAAATGAGTATTTCACGTGTATCCTGGTGTTTCCTGGAGGAACTTTGAAAACCAGGTGTTGAATCAAATAAACAAATGGGCCAAACCACCACTGTTATTAAAGCATGGGTCAAAGGCGGTACTTACACGGGCTTAATTTTAGCCATGTGAATAGCCCCATGCTGAGATGACACATATGTTTGAAGTTATCCGTGCTGTAACATTTTACTGTGTTATGACTTAAGATAGTTCGAATCCAGAGTTCAGCATCCTAATACAATTAATTCTGGTTTAGGGGAGGAAGCTGGACTTAGGTGACCTCTTGAGGTCTCTCGCAGCGCTGTCTTCTATGATTCTTTGAAGCAAGGATCAGTCCGAACCCCCTTAAAGTTAAAAATGATCCCGTAGTTTAAGGATCGAGGTTCAGACCTCTTTCTGTGTTTTCAGTCCTGAAACATGCATTTCTGGCACGTTGAATATATTACAGATTTCTTTGGAAAATTACTCTTAGGAAAAAATGGACGAGCCAGAGGTTACAAACAAGGAATTTTCCTGTTGTGGCTAAAGGGTCAGCGCATGTGCTTTGTTAATCAAGGTTAAAAGTTAAAGGAGCCAGCCAGGGACAGCTAATGAATTGCAATGTGTCAGCCACTGTCGCACTTTTAAAAATACATCTGTGAAGAGCTAGGCTGGAGACACCTTTGAGTGTCTCATCTGGAATTTGGAAACCGGTATCTGCATGGGTTTGTATTCGTGCAGGGACTATGTAATACTCATGCATGAAAGAGAAATAGACAATATAGAGGCAAAAATTCTTCCAGTGCTCCCAAAACAATACTAACATCCAAATTGCTGCTAGGTAGCTAGAATCAAGCGCTGAACTGCCGCTTGGCAGCCCCAGCCCTGTCCCACTAAAGCTGCTAGGGAGGCTCTTGCTGTGTTTGGTGCAGCGATCGTCTGATTATCCGCCCCGTCCCTCCTCCAGCTGCCTGCGAGCGTGGCTGCCTCTTTTCCTTCCTGTTAAGTCTGATATTGCCCCGAGGTCCTGAAGTAATTGCACGCTTTGCTCTCGGTTATGCAGCTGCTTCAAGGGGAAGAATAAAATATGATCAGCTATGTATGCCGATCCTGTACCTTGCTTTATATGGAAAAAGAAAACGCTAGCCAGGTTAAGTAGCACAAGGGTATATGTTTACAGGGTGTTTGCCCTGTTGTGTGCCTGACGTGCTGTTTGAAACCTCTTTACCCAGGCAAATAGGAGAGAACCTGATTGTGCCAGGGGGAGTGAAAACCATTGAAGCCCATGGCAGGATGGTGATTCCTGGAGGGATTGACGTTCACACCCGCTTCCAGATGCCGGAACAGGGGATGACATCTGCTGATGACTTCTTCCAAGGGACCAAGGCTGCGCTGGCTGGGGGCACCACCATGATCAGTAAGCTGGCTGGTTTTTCTCTTCCGAGAAGGCTTTACTTTTCTCTTTCTGGGATAAATACAGAAAATGTGGGCTGTATACATTATGGGATATTTTGGACCAGGTATGTACCAGCAGTGGGAGATTTCTGATGTCTGTCCAGGTTGCTGGGGAAAGCCTGTGTTAGGGCTGGGAAAAGGGGTGGAAAACCAAGACCTCGGGATTTCCACATCTTGCAGCTGTCGGTCATTTCAGTCTTGTCTTCTCTGTTGGCGGGGTTTTACCTTGCTACTCGTGTGACTTTGCCAGATTCTTGGGTCTCCTCCTACTGAAACCAGTGTCACCTTGACCTCTGGCTCCAGTATGAGTAGCAGGTTCTGCACATTCCTGTGCCTCGGTTCCGTTCTCCATGATGTCTGTGGGTAGATGTCCATCATGTGGTTCACACCCAGAAGCCTGGTGCCAGTGTACTATGTGTCTTTGAAAATTGGGCCACTTATTTAAGGATTTGCACATGCCCACTTAAGTACGCAGCTTTAGCACCAGGATTTTTGTAAGCGTTGTTCCTTTTTTTTTTGCTCATATCCTCCTTTGGAGGAAGAAAGAAATCGGGAAATGAAAATATCTCGAAATAAAAGGACAGACAGACTGACTGCTGTGCAGACACCAGGATTAGACGCTCATGGTGTTCCCCTCGGGTTCTAAAATGCCTTGTGAATGACTTCCAGGCTATCTGTCCCTGCTTGTGTTGGCTACAGATGCTTGGCTTGCCAGAGCCGGAACCTTAAAACTCCGTAAGTGAGTCATTGTTGTTAACCTTGTTTGAGCTAGAGAAAAAAATAAAAACCTCTGTTGCAGTGCAGCCGATCACGTGTAAATGGTAACGCGGTGCCCTGGAGTCTGTTGCCGCATGTAGGATAAAGGTGTAAAGGGATACAATATCTGAGCATCTTGCATTCTTTCATGTACTGTGAGGTGCTGCCATTTCACAGGAGGGGAGTTAAGGTACAGAGAAGTAAAAGACTGTGGTTCGGAACAGGTACTGGTGTCCATTGTCCAATCCGTGGATATAAAGAGATCTTAGGCACAGCCGGGAATCTGCCTAACCCTCCTCAGTTCAAACCTAGCTCCTTATGGACTAGAACATCCTCAGCTCTTAGAGAGGATGGTTCTGAACGGTCTTTGATCCCTGGCCTGGTGGGCGGACTCGGATTCATTGACGTGGAGGCTGGGAGTAGGAGCCAGTGGTCCAAGCACATCTAGACTGTCTGTGTTTCACAAACAAATCTTTTCCTGGGTCTGGACCTTGCAAAGAGGTTGTGTCTGGCCTATGAATTTGGTCTAGTGCTTCAAATCAGTAACTTAAAATAACCCAGGAAATTATTTTTCATAATGTTTCCGCTTTGGAGTATGAACTTTGTGTATGAAGATAACCTCACGCATGCAGAGAACGTACAGTGGGAGTGCAACTGTGGACGGTCTCATTGTGCATACTACTATCCAGGTTTTTTTTCAAATCTTTGCTGTCAATTTGAATTAATAACTGAAATTATATTTTCTTTTCAGCTTCAGTTCATTGACTTTGTTTCATTGGTTGTTCTCTTGTTATTAGTACACCTGGTTCATACTTGAGTTGTCATTTTGTTCTTCCTTGTTGAGTTGAATTAGATCAAAATAACATTCTTTGTCATCTGTGTCTGAGCTTTTACCAGCACTATTTCCCCCAGTGGCACTTTTTAGGACATTTTAAGCAGAAGTTGCTTAAACAAGATTTTTCTGAAGTAGCTCTGTACTTTGGTTGCCCGGTTTTACCTATGCAAAGCTTCAAACTTCAGGAATGTTTGGACCTGTCAGTATATGCGAAGATGTATATTGCCTTTATGAATGTAGTATCTGAATATCTCACTAATGGTGTTCGTAACACATCTCTGAGATAGGGAAGTTGAAGGAGAGTCCTCCATTTTATAACTTCTCATTTTGCAGCTGTGGAAAAATTAGCACAAGGTAGATTATGACCGTGGGCAAACCATGTAGAGGAGGTGGTTGGTGGCCAGCTTTGACCTAACTGCCTTCCTGAGTGTCTAGGATTAGGATACCAAAATATAACAATCACCTCTGAACAAAAAACGTCTTCCTAAAGTGTAGCATCCAGGACAGTAATTGGACTGCTTAAGATGACAGAGACGTGTCTGATGGGCAGGTATCAGCTGAAGAGTGGAAAGCAGGATAAATAATCCAACCAGGCTTCAAAGCTTTGGAGACTCTGCTCTGTGTCAGCTCAGCTGTTCCCTTCTTAGCAAAATTATACCATTTGCAAAAATGCTTTTCCACAAAGAAACATGCGGAACGGCCCTGGTGAACGTGCTCTTGGTGGGTGGCCTCTGGTTTTTCCCAAAGCAGGTGGGAGTTGTGGTTTGATTGCAGCGTTTTTTTCTTTTATGATAAATAGGGCAACGTTTAGTGCACTGGATTCATAATATCACAAACAAATTGCAGCCTGAAAACGACACGCTAATGTTTATGTCATTGTATATTTTAAATACTGTGCCTGGGACTTTTCAAAAGAGAATATGCTCCTCTCATGGGAATGCGTCTAGCTGTGTGCCTCCGTTCTTGGGGCTTTTTCGGAGAAGCTAGCCTTGTGGATGTGAGCTTTGTCGCAAGAAACACCCACATTTCTTCATTTGTGGTTTAAGCAAACTTTGTATTATTTATTTACAAATGCCTTTACTCCATCTGTTTTCCTCTTTTATACGTAGCCCTCATTTTGTGCAAGAAAACAGGTTAGTCTGCTTCATGCTTCAATTTGTTTCCCATTTTCATGCAGGAGGGCACTGTAAGGATGTTTACTTTACAGTCATTGGAGGGAAATACTTGTTTTATATATGTTTTTCAGCAAAATTAAAACAAGAATCTTGGATAGGTTTCTATTGATTGTTGGTTTTACACAAACTGTGGGTGAAATCCTGGCTTCGGGGAGGTCACGGAGAGTTTTGTCCTTGACCTCAGCAGTGCCAGGAATTCACCCTCTCTGCCTGGTTTGGTTTCAGTGAACTTCATTTCCAGCTCAGATCAAATTCAATGTTGTTCCTTTAATTCTCTTGGCAAACGCATCCCAGGGTAGCGCACAGGAGTTCAAGAATGCAACCTATTGTTTCCAAGCCCTGTTCTTATTGACTTCCGATCCCCTTTAAAGTGAATTCAGTAAATTCCCTACTGCTGCGGTGGAGATGGGAGAATCCCACTCTCGACTGGTGTCAAATGGAGCAGCCCCGTTTTCTGTGTGGGTCCACTGGAGATTTATCCTGGTGGGAAGCAGATCTGTCTCCAGCCCGGTGCTTCCCAGCTCATCCCTTGGTCAGTTGGAACGGGGAGGGTGGCTGGCGGCGACGATCTGAACGAGCCCTTTTCTGCTCCCGTCACCCGCGTTCCCCGAGGACTGCCCGGTCCTCCTCAGCCTTCCTCCACGTCACTTCACTCAGGAGTTAGGGCTGATTTCTTTTTCTAGCCACTCGTTCCACGGAGGCCATCTGAACAGGAATTCCAGCTATGATCCTTCTGTCTCTGCCCGTGCCAAAGGCAAGGCTCCAGCTGACTTTGCTAACGTACGAAAAACCAGAGTTGGTTTTGCTGTGCAGAGCCGCTGAGAGGTGAAATGACGTGTTGTGAGATGATGGATTGTTTTTCTGAAAGGGCAGTTTGCACCATCCTTTCTCTGTCTCTACCTTAAAACAATATTAGTGTGGGTACAGCAGCCGAGGGCGAACAGCGCTGCGCATGTGTGAGGATGACATTACTCTGGAAACAACTTGGATTATCGCCCTTTTAAAATGTCAGAATGCAGTGTTTGGACATTAAGTTGAAGGGAGGATTCCAGGATGATGCGTGGAAGGCTTGGTCGGAGAGAGGAGCATTAGACAGGCTCGGGCTCGTTCAGGGTATCTTCCTTAAGCTCCCCCGTATTCCATGGAAAGAGAAGAGTCCTACCAGAGTTTTGGGAAAGGACTCGCCCTTTACAAAAGTTGCCCTTTACAAGAGGCTTGTCCGTGCAGCCTATGGAGCCACCGTTTTGTTGAGCTAAAGATGGTGTTTTTGAGCCCCCATTGCCCCAACATGAGATGGGCTGATGCCCTGGGATGCAAAACAGTCCCTGGAGCTATTTAGGGAAGGAGGAGATCACTGCTAAGAACAGGGTGGCCTCTCCAAGTCTTGTGGTGGTTTGGTGGCTTATTAACTGTGGTGGGTGAAACCCCCATCAAAATCAATGGTATCTACCCCCCACCCCCCCGCCATCCGATTTCAATAGAGGCAGGATTGCCTTTCTCTGCGCCTAACCCTTCAGAAAGGATGAGGCTAAGCTGTGTGTATTTACCGGCTCTCTGATCCTCTAGCCTGTTTTATGTCCTAATGAGAACTGCATCTATCCAGGGCAGCTCCCACACACATTTCAGTCCCCCCCGCTCCCAAAGACTGTGCTTCTTCCTGGGTATCTGCTGTCCTTGAGTGAAACTGCGTGGTGACATTGCCTGTGTTGACTCAGTCAACCACTGAGAAATTACAGTGAGAGAAATTATAGCTCTTTCTGGCTTGGTGACTTGGAAGCCAGCTGCCTTTTGAACTTGACTAGCAGTTATCCTAATAACACGGAGAACGTTCGCTAGGGATATGAGCCTTTGTATCTCAGGAGGTTCAGAAAATGACGGGGAACTTTGCGTGGTCTGCAGTCTGCTTCCTAATGCTTTACCCTGCTATTAAAGAGAGCCCTCGTGTGCAGGATGGCGAAGGTTTTCAGGAGTGAGTTGGCTGCTGAGCTACAATCAAATTAGTAGTGGGTTGACACCAGGCCTCCGAGGTCATCCTGAAGATCAGCACCTTGCTAGAAGGAGATGTTTGCAGTCTAGCGTACCTCCTCGCCTCTTGGTTTTTGAACTGAGCGTGACTGGAGAGAATGGAGCTGCCCCAAAGGTGATCAGAGTCTAAACCGCAACAGCATGAACTTAGAGTATGGTTTAGTGTTCGGG